TTTTTTTTTTTTTTTTTTCTGACGTGTAAAGCTGTAACCACAAATTGTAGCGGCCCTCCCCGGGGTGGGGGGAGGAGGGGGGAGGAGGGAAGGGAGGGCGTCTGGGGCTCCTCTCCCTCCCACAGCACCGAGGGGGGGTGAGGTGAGGCGAGGCTGTGGCGGTACCACCCTGGGCCTCCTGGGGGAGGGGGCGGGGAGGGCATCAGTCCGTCTGCAAACACCCAGAACTCGCGAGGGAGCCGCCCGTCCCTTTCTCTCGCCTTCGGTGTCGGCCTGGAGCGCTGCCCGCTGCCCGGCGCGGGTCTCGCTCTCACCATACCTCCGTCTCCTCATCGCTAACCTTCCCCCCCACACACACACCCAGTAAATGCAATGACACATTCTCCCAAATGCCAGCGAGCTGGCCTCCAAGCAAGTGATGGTGTTTTTCCTGCTGTCCTTTGTCTGGGCTGACCGCCCCCCTTGCCTATTGTCCCGCCGCCTGTCCCATTTCCAAAAGCTGGGGCTGAGTGAGGCGCCAGGCCGGGGCAGGTGACTAACCGGCTCACAATGCCCCCTGCGGGGGAGGAAGAGGCCACCACAGGCCCACTGCCCGGCCGGGAGGAAAGAAGAGGGCTCTTGGCCGAGGGCTTTTCCCTCAAGTTCACAAGGTTCTTCATTCTTCCCAGGGGCTAGGAGTGTGCGCCGGGCTGGGGACTGGTAATTCATTAATCAGCAGAGGCACCCGGGCCAGTTTCAACTCCAGGGCTTCACCCGTGACTCAGCGGGAAGGCTCCGACTCAAGGCGATGGACAGACCCGTTGGCGAAATGCTTCCCCACTAGGACATTTGGCTTCGCCTGCCTCTGGGGTTTGGGCTGTTGGTTTTTTCCGGAGGTGGGGTAGGTAGGGCTGGTTTGGCTGCGGAGTGTTCTCCCTGCTCCCTTCCCTCAGGCCTGGGCTGGGACTTGCTGGGGGCAGGAGGATACCCAGGGGACCCATAAGCCTACACCTTCCAGGGTCCCCCTTCCTCCACAGAGGGTTGCCAGGGAGAATGCTGAGGAAACAGCTCTCATCTGGGGTCGTGCAGAAAGCCTCAGACCACTTGGAGACGTTTCTTGGGGGACAGTCATTCGCTCGTCAAGGCTCGAGTGCTCTAGAACCAAACCAGCAATAAAGCCATTTGGTAATTAGCTGCTTTTGTTGCTGTTTATTTGTTGCTTCAAAGGGGAGAGGCAGTGCTGGGCCAGACCTGGAAGGTGACTCCTCTGTCTGGGACAGCGTCAGACCCCTCAGAGCCGGTGCCCGGCACCCCTGCTCTGGTGCCCCAGAGGAAGGTGGCCGCCCGGCCAGCCCTGCCACAGCCC